TAGTTTTTCCAGCCTATATTTGTACATCTGGGTTTTATTTATTTACTTTATTTATATACCGCTATTCTCAGCCCAAGGGCGACTCAAGAATTTTGTTTTTCTCTTCATTGGAAGCATCACATTTACAGTCATGAAAGATCAAAGAGATGTTGGGGATTGCAGTTTCAAGGCTAGAGGCTTCAGGCACTTCTACACTGTAGGATAAATGCAGTGTCACAGCACTTTAAAGGCTACGGAATGATGTGAGTTGTAGTTTGCGGTGAGGTTTCCTGCATAAGGGTGTTGGTGCCTGACCAAATTACAGCTTCCAGGATTCTGTACATTGGAGCCAAGTAGTGCCAAACTGCATTCATTTTGCAGTGTAGATTCACTTGTTTACCTAAAGTGTTGCTCAAGATTTCTTAGATCAAGATCTACTGGTACACAATAGATTTTTGAATAGTGTACCTGTAAGCTACCAGGGTTGTGAAGGATTTCTCTATAGACAAGCCAAGATAATAGGGGATCTGGCACAAGCCCTATAAATTGCCCCAATGGAGCCATGAGGCTGGGGAGGACAAATTGCTCTTCTAGCAGTGCTTCTGTTTGGATCAGTGTTACATATCTCTCGTTTCCTGGATTCTGTTTTGTCTCTGTGTTGGGTTGTCTCCTTTTTTTCCTTTTGGCTTCTACGTTTAGCCAAATAAATGTCATTTTACCCAAAATATTGTGGGGTGTTTTTCTTCTGTGTTCTCTCTTTTGCTGTCCTTTCAACACACAATCCAGCTGTTTTTGCCAAAGGGAGGAAATTGGGTGGGAAGTAGCTTTTTTTTGGAACCAATAAATGTTATCAAATGCCTTCTCTGCATCCAAAAATGTCAACTCACCTTCCAGTTATTTATGCCCCTGTAGATATTCTATAGCATTTAGTTAGTACAAATCAAAGATAATATGAGGATAGTACTAAATGCATCAAGCATTTCTGATGTACTTTAGGAACTCCATTGCACTCCTCATGGGTATCCGCATGCACATTGGAAATGTCCCAAAGCACATCAATGCCTGCTGTACATCGGGGTGATAGTGCATCAGTCACCCCATTTGCTTTCACTGTGCAATAGGCTACCATAACCTGTAATAACAGTCCTAGTTGAACGTAGATGTTGTAAAACTACTCAATTCTGGTCCCCACATCATTAAGTCCACTTTTAAAGGCTGAATTCCAGCCATACCTCTTCTGGGAAGACTTTTGCTTCTGCCTAGGGTACATCTACACTGTCGATTTAATGCAGTTCAACTTTAAATGCCATAGTTCAATGTTATCAATCACAAAAGAGTTTCAATTTGGTGAGGCACCAGTACTCTGGCAGAGAATAATAACAACAACAAGGGGACTCAGGGCAAATCACAGTAAACATACATGGCAAATATTCAATGCCGTTTCGACATTGGAGGTATGTTGTGTACAGCTTTTTTTGGCTCCTTGGAGGTTGTGCTCGAATCCAGCCACAGGAGGGTGCTGTCACTCCATCCTCAATGACGAAGAGCCATTAGGACTTCCTCCTTCCTTTTGGTCTCTGGGCATTTTCTGGTCTTTTATGTTGTCATAAAATACCTCCCCCACTTTTTTATCAATACCTAATTTCTCTACTTACAGCTCTAAGCTGCTTTCGAACTGCTTAGGTAAACTGAGCTGGGCTGACAGTCGGGTGCTCATGCCAACCCAGGGCTTCGAACTGGCAACCTTTCGGTTGGTAGATCTTATCATTGCTGGTGATTTACGAGCTAGATTAAAACTAAAGACTTTGTAAAAAACAGCTCCTATGATTCCCTAGCATTGAGACATAGCAGTTAATGTAGTGTCAAACAGCATTGTTTTGACTGTGTAGATATACTATTACTTACCAAGTGAAACAACGACTGGCAACTTCAAGGTCTCACATAAGAGTTACTCTAGTGCAGTGGTTCTCAACTTGTGTTACAACTCCCAGAAATCCCAGTCAGTTTACCAGCTGTTAGGATTTCTGGAAGTTGAAGGCCAAATCGTCTGGGGATCTACAGGTTGAGAACCACTGCACTTGTGTAATATCCTCAAATCACCATATATTCAGATACCTCCCTTTGCAACCTCTTAGAAAGTGATGCCACCAACAGGATTCTGTCCTACGTCTCCAAATTTCACAGCAAACATCCACTACAGTGTGTGCTCCATGCTATAATACACAACACAATGAAAAATGTGCATTGTGGTCATCCCTTTATTAAGACATGTAAAAACTGCAAAAGAAATCATGCTAGCTTTTGAATGCCACTGACATCTTCATCAGGCAGAGATGTTTTATAAACTATGCAAGGAAAACAAAGTGATGGATCAGTGCCACAGGTCTGCATTGTGCTTGAATTGTTTATGAAAGATGGTCTTATGAGAGGGTTGATGCCAGTAGAGGCAAGAAGGAGTTTGCAAACAAATGCAATGGAACTTCCTTCTCCATCAAGTTTACTTTCAGCATTGGACCTGCTTCTATTCACTTGAAGCGACCCCTTTGCAGATGGAATACAGTGAACCTCTCAAGACTCTGTATTGTCAAAGGCTTTCATGGCCGGAATCACTGGGTTGTTGTAGATTTTTTTCGGGCTATATGGCCATGGTCTAGAGGCATTCTCTCCTGACGTTTCGCCTGCATCTATGGCAAGCATCCTCAGAGGTAGTGAGGTCTGTTGGAACTAGGAAAATGGGTTTATATATCTGTGGATGACCAGGGTGGAGCTAGGTCTCTTGTCTGCTGGAGCTAGGTGTGAATGTTTCAACTGACCACCTTGATTAGCATTTGATGGCCTGACAGTGCCTGGAGCAAACTTTTGTTTAGAGGTGATTAGATGTCCTTGTTTGTTTCCTCTCTGTTGTTGTGCTGTTGTAATTTTAGAGTTTTTTAATACTGGTAGCCAGATTTTTCTGCTGTTTAGCTGCAACCCAGCTTTTGCACTTTCTTCTTTCACCAAAACACCAAGATTATGGCAACAAGAATGATTGACAACTGGGAAATAGAGGAAGAAAGTGTGGAGGCCGTGACAGACTTTGTATTTCTAGGTGCAAAGATTACTACAGATGCAGACTGTGGTCAGGAAATCAGAAGACGCTTACTTCTTGGGAGGAGAGCAATGTCCAATCTCGATAAAATAGTGAAGAGTAGAGACATCACACTGGCAACAAAGATCCGCCTAGTCAAAGCCATGGTATTCCCTGTAGTCACCTACGGATGTGAGAGCTGGACCTTAGGGAAGGCTGAGCGAAGGAAGAGAGATGCTTTTGAGCTGTGGTCCTGGAGGAAAGTGCTGAGAGTGCCTTGGACTGCGAGAAGATCCAACCAGTCCATCCTCCAGGAAATAAAGCCCGACTGCTCATTGGAGGGAAGGATACTAGAGACAAAGTTGAAGTACTTTGGCCACATCATGAGGAGACAGGAAAGCCTAGAGAAGACAATGATGCTGGGGAAAGTGGAAGGAAAAAGGAAGAGGGGCCGACCAAGGGCAAGATGGATGGATGGCATCCTTGAAGTGACTGGACTGACCTTGAAGGAGCTGGGGGTGGTGACGGCCGACAGGGAGCTCTGGCGTGGGCTGGTCCATGAGGTCACGAAGAGTCGGAGATGACTGAACGAATGAACAACCAGAGCCAGATTTTGTTCATTTTCATGCTTTCCTCCATTCTGTTGAAATTGTCCACATGCTTGTGGATTTCAATGGCTTCTCTGTGCAGTCTGACATGGTGGTTGTTGTAGTGGTCCAGCATCTCTGTGTTCTCAAAGAATATGCTGTTTCCAGTTGGTTTATCAGGTGCTCTGCTATGGCTGACTTCTCTGGTTGAAGTAGTCTGCAGTGCCTTTCATGTTCCTTGATGCGTGTGTTGGGCAATGCTGCTGCGTTTGGTGGTCCCTCTGGAGACTTCTTGTCCACAGCTGCATGGTACACGGTAGACTCCTGCAGAAGTGAGAGGATCCCTCTTGTCCTTTGCTGAACGTAGCATTTGTTGGATTTTCTTGGTGGGTCTGTAGATAGTTTGTATGTTGTNTTTCCTAGAAAATCCAAGCAATGCTACGTTCAGCAAAGGACTTCTGCAGGAGTCTACCGTGTACCATGCAGCTGTGGACAAGTCTACAGAGGGACCACCAAACGCAGCAGCATTGCCCAACACGAATCAAGGAACATGAAAGGCACTGCAGACTACTTCAACCAGAGAAGTCAGCCATAGCAGAGCACCTGATGAACCAACCTGGACACAGCCTTTTATTTGAGAACACAGAAATGCTGGACCACTCTCACAACCACCATGTCAGACTACACAGAGAAGCCATTGAAATACACAAGCATGTGGACAATTTCAACAGAAAGGAGGAAACCATGAAAATGAAACAAAATCTGGCTACCAGTATTAAAAAAAACTCTAAAATTACAACAGCACAACAACAGAGAGGAAACAAACAAGGACATCTAATCACCTCTCAACAAAAGTTTGCTCCAGACACTGTCAGGCCATTATATGCTAATCAAGGTGGTCAGTTGAAACATTCACACCTAGCTCCAGCAGACAAGAGTCCTTTGTCCCACCCTGGTCATTCCACAGATATATAAATCCTTTTTCCTAGTTCCAACAGACCTCACTACCTCTGAGGATGCTTGCCGTAAATGCAGGTGAAACGTCAGGAGATAATGCCTCTAGACCATGGCCATGTAGCCTGAAAAAATCTACAACAACCCAGTCTCAAGACTCTCCTATTATGTAATGAGGCCTACAACAAACACACACCAATGCACTATCTGCCATTTGGGCACTTTCAACAATCGGACCAATGCCTGAAGTTATCTGGAAGCCATGGATGGCTCAACATGTCCATAGTTGCAGTGGTTGTAGATAGCATCAAACTCCCTGCGGTTTTGCTTCTCTTAGCAAATTGCAAACAGCTTCCTCGAAAAAAGTTGTTCCAAGTGGGATATCCAAAAGTTACTAAAAAGAAACAGCTATGTGGCTCTGACATCCGCCTCCATTTTCCGTTCAGCTTAGTGGGCATTCGGCTCTGTTCTGCTCTCTGGAGATCCAGCTGGGCAGCAGCCAGGTTGGTCATCTGCTTTCCGGTAATACATCCTGGTCAAGACGGCCATGATGAAGGTTTCTACAATCAGGAGCTGGAAGTGCATCTCTAGGAGCGAGAGAGAGGGAAGAAAAGAGGGAGTTTTACCCATTTGCAGCCATACTGGAATCTCCCACACCTGTGAAGCACTGAATCCATGCTATGTTTCAGACCAAGGCCCCATCTACACTGACCATTGCATGCCATTTGAAGCTAGGGTAGGGTTTCGGTCATTCCGATGAATGATCTGTTAGATAGATAATGCGTTATTAGACAGGAATGCATTACCTGTAACCCTGTTGTGTAAAACTGATGGAAAATACCGTTCTAATGGACATGTGGTCACATACCGTTCTAAAAAACGAAATGCAAAGATACAGAATGGGGACAATGCCTGGCTCAAGAGCAGTACGTGTGAAAAAGATCTTGGAGTCCTCGTGGACAACAAGTTAAACATGAGCCAACAATGTGATGTGGCGGCAAAAAAAAACCAATGGGATTTTGGCCTGCATCAATAGGAGCCTAGTGTTTAGATCTAGGGAAGTCATGCTACCCCTCTAGTCTGCTTTGGTTAGACCATATCTGGAATATTGTGTCCAATTCTGGGCACCACAATTCAAGAGAGATATTGACAAGCTGGAATGTGTCCAGAGGAGGGCGACTACAATGATCAAGGATCTGGAGAACAAGCCCTATGAGGAGCTGCTTAAGGAGCTGGTCATGCTTAGCCTGAAGAAGAGAAGGCTGAGAGGAGATATGATAGCCATGTATAAATATGTGAGAGGAAGCCACAGGGAGGAGAGAGCAAGCCTGTTTTCTGCTTCCCTGGAGATTGGACGCAATGGAACAATGGCTTCAAACTACAAGAAAGGAGATTCCATCTGAACATGAGGAAGAACTTCCTGATTGTGAGAGCCGTTCAGCAGTGGAACTCTCGAGGTGAAGGCTCCTTCTTTGGAAGCTTTTAAACAGAGGCTGGATGGCCATCTGTCAGGGGTGATTTGAATGCAATTTTCCTGCTTCTTGCCAGAATGGGGTTGGACTGGATGGCCCATGAGGTCTCTTCCAACTCTATGATTCTATGAATCTATGATTCTAAAGGACATGTGGTCACATACCTGCTGAAGAATTAAGTAGGTGGTGATGTGTAAGGTGTGTAGGTGTTTAGAGTGGCTTGTAGGTCTTCTTCTGAATGTGCACAGATGATGTTGTCATCAGCATATTGGAGTTCTATAACAGATGTTGTAATTTGTACACATGTCAAGATAGAAAGTCTCCACTGTGAGTTTGGATGAAAACTGAGTCAATCAGTTCTCTTAAAGATCACACTCTGCAGTAAAATTCTGCTGACAACTGATAAGGACTCTGCTATGTATTGGTTTATTTTTTCTGACTTGCCTCTGAGACAATCCATCTCGTGCACAGCATATTTAGGGAGGGGGTGATTGTGAAGGAGAAAACTACAAATCATGCGTCTATCCCACTTGACAAGATCTGGCAAAGATGTTGCTTTCATTTCAGTCTGTACCATACATACTCATTGACTTCAATCAATGGCAAAAGGAAGAAATCCCAGAACCAAAATATTACAAGGTGATGAGGAAAAGAGAAGGTATGGGAGCCTACACAATCTGAAAATATATTACCATGCTTGTTGTTTGATGCAACTTAAGGACTGGTTAAGAAACATTAACAACCTTAGATATGCAGATGATACCATTCTGATGGCTGAAAGAAGAAAGTTCAAAAGCTTGGTTGAAGTTAAACATCTAAAAAACTAAAGTGATGGCAACCAGATTGGTAATTGGCAAATAGAGGGAGAAAACATGGAGGCAATAAAAGACTTTGTATTTCTAGGTGCAAAGATGACTGCAGATGCAGACTGAGGCAAGGAAATCAGGAGATGTTTCCTTCTTGGGAGGAGAGCAAGGACCCATCTCGATAAAATAGTGTAGAGACATCACACTGGCAACCAATAGCCACATAGTTAAAGCAAAGGTATTCCCTGTAGTAACCTATGGATGCGAGAGCTGGACCATAAGGAAGGCTAAGCGAAGGAAGAGAGATGCTTTTGAACTGTGGTGCTGGAGGAAAGTGCTGAGAGCGCCTTGGACCGCAAGAAGATCCAACCAGCCCATCCTCCAGGAAATAAAGCCTGAGTGGTAATTGGAGGGAAGGAGATGAGAGGCAAAGATGAAATATTTTGGCCACATCATGAGAAGAAAGGAAATCTTAGAGAAGACAATGATGCTGGGGGAAAAGGAAGGAAAAAGGAAGAGAGGTCAACCAAGGGCAAGATGGATGGATGGCATCCTTGAAGTGACTGGCTTGGCCTTGAAAGAGCTGGGGATGGTCACAGCGATAAGGAGGTATGGTCCAGGAGGTCATGAAGAGTCGGAAGCGACTGAATGAATAAACAACAACAAAAGGACTGTTTAACATTGAAAAACAATGTGAATTACTTCAACTGAAGGTTTGAAATTTGGGGTACATACTTTTTTTTTGGTATGATAACATAAAAACAGACTCAGGTTTTTCATAATCATAATCATAAGGAGATCACTATTGCAAGTTTGGAATAGAAGCAAGAATGGATTTTGTTCAAAGCTGCCTTTATGGTGCTCTCGGCATTCTGCAGGGTAATATATAAGTCATTGTTGATGTTATTGTTCAATGTATTGTCGAAGGCCTTCATGGCTGGAATCACTAAGTTCTTGTGGGGTTTTTTTTGGGCTATATGGCCATGTTCTAGAGGCATTCTTCCTGACGTTGTTGTTATTGTTGTTGTTATTCAGAAGATAAATTCTCTTAGAAGGAAATCAGCTGACCTTTAAGCACTTGTGAAGACTTGATAATGACCATCTGTTGATTTAAGTTTCCATGCAATGGGACATCGTGGAGGACTTGGTTGCACTTTTCTGCCTCCAGTTTGCAAAGCTTCTCCCCTCCTTTCCTTTGAGTGTCAAATCCTATGTCTCTTTTTGGATATAGCTATTTTTCCTAGGAAAGACACAACTACACAGGCGGAGGTTTACACTCCATCCCGTTGACATCTGCTGGTGACTTCCATGTCTGTTAGGGTTTCTGCTCTAACCCTCAAGTGACCCCAAGTCCCTTTAAATGCCTTCCCTGTGAGCCCCAAAACAGACAACATTGGCTCTCAAACTCACGCTGGGACCGCGATCTGGAGGAGAAAGGTGGGGCGCATGCAATCTGTCCGCCATTCCCCAAAATGCTGAAGATGGAGGGCTGCAGCGCTGTCAGAATCAGGAGAACCTGGAAGAGGAAAACAGAGGCAAGTTTTGGAAGATGCTTTAGAATTAGAGACTTGCAGAATCGATGTCGTTTGACACCGCTTTAATTGCCACGGACCATTACTATGGAATCGTGGGAGTTGCAGTTTGGTGAGGTACCAGAAGTCTTTGGCAAAACTCTTGGTAAAACCTCAGCTCCCAGAATCCCATAGCATTGAGCCATGGTTGTTAGAGTGATATTAAACTGCATTAATTCAGTGTAGAATTAATTCTACACTGGGACTGGGACTGTGTAGCTGACTCCCAGCTACACAGCTGGGAGTATGTAGCTCCCAGCTGTGATCACTAATGACCTAAAGGTCATGAGTTCGAAGCCAGTCGGGGTCGGCATGTTTAGCCTGAAGAGGAGACATGATAGCCAAGTATAAATATGTGAGGGGAAGCACATTGTTTTCTGCTGCCCTGGAGACTAGGACACAATGGAGCAATGGCTTCAAACTACAAGAAAGGAGATTCCATCTGAACACGAGGAAGAACTTCCTGACTGTGAGAGCTGTTCAGTGGTGGAACTCTCTGCCCCAGAGTGTGGTAAAGGTTCCTTCTTTGGAGGCTTTGAAACAGAGGCCGGATGGCCATCTGTCGGGGGTGCTTTGAATGCAATTTTCCTGCTTCTTGGCAGAATGGGGTTGGACTGGATGGCCCATGAGGTCTCTTCCAACTCTATAATTCTATGATTCGACAACATTTCCCCACCAGAGTATGAGGTGGGTATTCAAATCCTTCAATTTCCATTTAACAGCAAATAGGAAGTTTACCTGGAAGCACGCAAATTTGGCGCCCACATTCTGTTCTGCCAGGTGCATCTTGACGGAACGAAAGAGGATGGCCAATGCCCAGAGACCAAAGAGAGTGGAGACGCCGGCCGTGGTGTTGATCCAAAGAGCCACGCTGTATTCTGAGATCTATAGGCAAGGAAAGTATGAAATGAAAGAACGTGGGTGATATTATCATTGTTACTATTGGCTGGAACATTGCAATGCAACTACAGATACATAACGGATACTCAACTGCACCACATCGAGTTATGGTACCTGTGTTTAGCTTGAGAATGGGCCTGAGAGCCACTTGTAAGTATTTGAAAACATGTCCTATTGTTGGATGGATAGGTGTATTTAGGGGCAATGGTTGGACAACTCTATAGACCAGCTTTTCTCAACCTGGGAGTCAGGACCCCTTGGGGGTTGCAAGGGGGTATCAGAGGGGTCGCCAAAGACTAGGGGTTATGTGTGGGACGTTTGGTCCAATTCTATCACTGGTGGGTTTCAGAATGCTCTTTGATTGTAGGTGAACTATAAATCCCAGCAACTGCAACTCCCAAATGTCAAGATCTATTTTTCCCCAAACTCTACCAGTGTTCACATTTGGGCATATTGAGTATTTGTGCCAGGTTTGGTCCAGATCCATCATTGTTTGAGTCCACAGTGCTCTCTGGACGTAGGTGAACTACAACTCCAAAACTCAAGGTCAATGCCAAACCCTTCCAGTATTTTCTGTTGGTCATGGGAGAACTGTGTGCCAAGTTTGGTTCAATTCCATCGTTGATGGAGTTCAGAATGCTCTTTGATTATAGGTGAACTATAAATCCCAGCAACTACAACTCCCACAAAATCATAATTTTTTGAGTGATGGTCACTCCTTGTATAGTGAGACGTTTTGTTGCCAAATTTGGTGTGATTTCCTTCATTGGTTCTTTTTTTTAAGGTACTCATTATGCACAGAGCGTGTGTGTGTGTGTGTGTGTGTGTGTGTGCATATATATATATATATATATACACTGTATGTGTATACCGCCTTTCTCAGCCCATAGGCAACTCAAGGTGGTTAACAGGGTAAAATTCAATACTTATAATATCATAAATACAATTAAAAACATAACACATAATACAAATTAAACATATCAATAAAATATAAATTCATAATGTCTCCTTGTTAAAAACGTATCCGGTCTCATTATTGTCGTTCTATTTTCCTATGACAGTTACTCTGCATTTGGAAACGCTTGTTCAAAAAGCCACATCTTGACTTTTCTCGGGAATGTTAAAAGGGAGGTAGCCAATCTAATATCTAGAGGGAGGGCATTCCACAGCCGAGGGGCCACCACTGAGAAGGCCCTGTCTCTCGTCTCCACCAAACATACTTATGACGAAGGCAGTAACGAGAGCAGGGCCTCCCCAGATGATCTTAAAGTCCTAGATGGCTCATAAGGGGAGATACGTTCGGATACGTAAGTTGGGCCAGAACCGTTTAGGGCTTTATAGGCTAAAGCCAGCACTTTGAATTGTGCCCAGTAGCAAACTAGCAGCCAGTGGAGTTGGCGCAACAGAGGAGTGGTATACTCCCTGAGCGCCGCTCCTGTTAGCAATCTGGCTGCCCTCTGTTGGACCATTTGAAGCTTTCGGACAGTCTTCAAGGGCAACCCCACATAGAGCGTGTTGCAGTAGTCTATATAGGATGTAACCAGAGCATAGACTAACGTGACCAAGTCAGACTTCCCAAGGTACGGGCACAGCTGGCACACAAGTTTTAACTGTGGAAATGCTCCCCTGGTCACCGCCAAAACCTGGTAATGGTTTGACAACTCTATAGACTAAGGTTCGATTCCCCTTCTATCCATGGAAACCTACTGGGTGACCTTGGGTGAGTCACACACTCTCAGCTTCGGAAAACCGTGTGATAGCATCATTTTAGAATCACCAGGAGTTAGAAATGACTTGACGTCACATAAGAAGAAGAAGAGGGGGGAAAGAGAAGGAAGGTCTTCTGTTGCAAACCCTAATAACACATTTTGACCCACAATCTTTCCCCTTACATCTGCTGTGTCATACAGGCCTTCCGTGGTCAAAACAAGCCCCAAAAAAGCACAGGCGCCTCGGAAGAAGGCATACTGGAAGGTGCCCAGGATCAGAATCCGAAGCTTTCGCCTGGAATGAGAAAAGGGTAGAGCCTGTTACGAAATCCAGGTTAGCTCTTAGGAAACTCGCAATCAAAGGTCAAGCTGGCCCTTCCAAACTCCCCAATTGTCCTGATGTGGCAGAGACAGTCCTGGTTAATCCTGCATCATCCCACCTATTTCAGCTGCTCTTAAAATGTCCCAGTTTCTCTCTCCTCTTCACATTTCCCTCTTTGGTTTTTAGCTTACCTCAATTGTTGCAAACCAGATGCCAGTGCAAAATTAGTTTACTGCCATCAAATTGGCTTCATCTTATGGCAACCTTATGAATGAGAGGCCTCCAAGTCACCCTATCAACTTCTTATAACTCCGAAATTGCACAAAAGCAATTGTTTCAAAGCATAACCTTCAATTGCCCTGATTTGACTGTGCCAATTAATCCTCCACTGTCACAGTATATCATCTACTTTAAAAGTTTTTTAAATGTGCCGGTTTACCTCTCTTCTCCCCATTCTTTGAGTCTCCTTGTGGAGAGAAAAAGTAGGGTATAAATAAACATAATAATTATAATTATAATTATAATATATTTCTCTGTCTCCATCTTCAGTTATTCAACATGTGTGTGCTTTCAAGTTATTGATCCATCAGGAGAGGTGGGTAATAAATAAAACTTATCATGGTCATCACCATCATCTCTTTACTTCCAGTGAGCAAACGAATTCCATAGGGTTTTTTCGGCAAGACATCCAAATATGTTTTTGCCAGTTCCTTCCTCTGAAATAGATCCTAAGGCTGCTGGTTGCTGTTTTCAATCCTTCTAGGTTTGAGAATGGTTCCTTTTTAGGACTACCACTCCCAAGAAGGCAAATGGAAACCCCTTTGAACCAAACTTGGAAAAGGCCTCTACACCAATGCCTCTAGACCATGGCCATATAGCCCAAAAAAACCTACAACAATCTTGTAAAAGGTTTGCCTTACGGTCTCCAAAAGTCAAACAATTTGAAGAACTGGAATAGAGGGGATACAATATCAATGTCTATAAATTATCTCAAGTGGTCCTATCATGGAAGCAGGAGAAAAGCCCTGACTAGAAAGACCCACAACAAATTAAACCATAATGAAGAACAGATAGGTTTTCATCCTGATGTATGCTGACGATCTAGTGCTCATCTCTCTCTCCTAGTTGGGTCTTTAAAATCTTCTGATGGCTTTCAGTACCTATTGCCAAGAGGAATATCTGGATATATGTTTAAAGCCAATGCCTTTGCCCTGATATTCATCCCCATTGCCCCGAAGAACAGAGACAATGATCCAGACCTTGAGATGTTGCAACCCTATGATCTCCACCCAATATCTAGCCATTTGCTTCCCGAAAACAAAGACGAGAGGCCCTGAAGACCAGAGAAGATGGTCCAGACCATGAGATGTTGGAACTCTATGACCTCCACCAAAGATCTAGCCATTTGGTTCCTGAAAACAAAGACAGGAGACCCTGAAGACCAGAGAAGATGGTCTAGACCCTGAGATGTTGGAACCCTATTACCTTCACCAAAAATCTAGCCATTTGGTTCCTGAAAACAAAGACAGGAGTCCCTGAAGACCAGAGAAGATGGTCTAGACCAGTGGTTCTCAACCTGGGGTCCCAAGATGTTTTTGGCCTACAACTCCCAGAAATCCAAGCCAGTTTACCAGCTGTTGGGATTTCTGGGAGTTGAAGGCCAAAAACATCTGGGGACCCCAGGTTGAGAAGCACTAGACCCTGAGATGTTGGATCTCCACCCAAAATCTAGCCATTTAGTTTCCAAAAACAAAGACAGGAGGCCCTGAAGACCAGAGAGGGTGGTCCAAACCCTGAGATGTTGGAACCCTATGACCTCCACCCAAGATCTAGCCATTTGGTTCCTGAAAACAAAGACAGAAGGCCCTGAAGGTCAGAGAAGATGGTCCAGACCCTGAGATGTTGGAACCCTATGATCTCCACCCAAAATCAAGCTATTTGGTTCCCAAAAACAAGGTCAGGAGGCCCTGAAAACCAGAGAAGATGGTCCAGACCCTGAGATGTTGGAACCCTATGACCTTCACCAAAGATCTAGCCACTTGGTTCCCATAAACAAAGGCAAGAGGTCCTGAAGACCAGAGAAGATGGCCCAGACCCTGAGATGTTGGAACCCTATGATCTCCACCTAAGACCTAGCCACTTGGTTCCCATAAACAAAGGCAGGAGGCCCTGAAGACCAGAGAAGATGGTCCAGACCCTGAGATGCAGAACTCTATGATCTCCACCCAAAATCTAGCCATTTGGTTCCCAAAAACAAAGATAGGAAGCCCTGAAGACTAGAGAAGATGGTCCAGACCATGATATGTTGGAACTCTATTACCTTCACCAAAAATCTAGCCATTTGGTTCCTGAAAACAAAGACAGGAGTCCCTGAAGACCAGAGAAGATGGTCTAGACCCTGAGATGTTGGAACCCTATGATCTCTACCCAAAATTTAGACATTTGATTCCCAAAAGCAAAGACAAGAGGCCCTGAAGACCAGAGAAGATGGTCTAGACCAGTGGTTCTCAACCTGGGGTCCCCAGATGTTTTTGGCCTACAACTCCCAGAAATCCCAGCCAGTTTACCAGCTGTTGGGATTTCTGAGAGTTGAAGGCCAAAAACATCTGGGGATCCAAGGTTGAGAACCACTGGTTTAGACCCTGAGATATTGAAACCCTATGATCTTCACCCAAAATCTAGCCATTTGGTTTTCAATAACAAAGACAGGAGATCCTGAAGACTAGAGAAGATGGTTCAGACCATGAGATGTTGGAACCCTATGATCTTAATCTAAGATCTAGCCATTTGGTTCCTGAAAACAAAGACAGGAGGCCCTGAAGACCAGAGATGATGGTCTGGACCCTGAGATGTTGGAACCCTATGATCTCCACCCAAAATCCAGCCATTTGGTTCCCAAAAACAAAGCCAGAAGGCTCTGAAGACCAGAGAAAATGGTCTGGACCCTGAGATGTTGGAACCCTGTGATCTCCACCCAAAATCCACCCATTTGGTTCCCAAAATCAAAGACAGGAGGCCCTGAAGACCAGAGAAGATGGTCCAGACCCTGAGATGTTGGAACCCTATGATCTCCACCCAAAATCTCGACATTTGGTTCCCAAAAACAAAGACAGGAGGCCCTGAAGACCAGAGAAGATGGTATAGACCAGTTGTTCTCAACCTGGGGTCCCAAGATGTTTTTGTCCTATAACTCCCAGAAATCCCAGCTAGTTTACCAGCTGTTAGGATTTCTGGGAGTTGAAGGCCAAAAACATCTGGGGACCCCAGGTTGAGAACCACTGGTCTAGGCCCTGAGATGTTGGAACCCTATGATCTCCACCCAAAATCTAGCCATTTGGTTCCCAAAAACAAAGACAGGAGGCCCTGAAGATCAGAGAAGAAGGTCTAGACCCTGAGATGTTGGAACCCTATGATCTCCACCCAAAATCTAGCCACTTTGTTCCCAAAAACAAAGACAGGAGGCTCTGAAGACCAGAGAAGATGGTCTGGACCCTGAGATGTTGGAACCCTATGATCTCCACCCAAGATCTAGCCATTTGGTTCCTGAAAACAAGGACAAGAGGCCCATGAGATGGTGCTTGACTCACTTGGTCATTGTGATGTGTGGGCAGCAAGGGCAGCAACAGCAACACGGCCCCGTGCTGATCCTCACCGGAGTGTCCTTCAGGGTCTTGAGCACGGCTGCCTTGCCCCCAAGTCCTTCCACTATGACCAGCGTCATCAGGTAGAAGCAGACAGCAAAGTACCTGGGAGGGGTACAAAAGAAGAAAAGTCACCATGAGTCACCCATATTTACTCGAGTCCGATGAGCCATCAAATCTAATGCACACCTCAATTTTCAAAACCCTGAATCCAAAATAGTATTTGCTGGTGAATACAATAAGAAGTGGCAAAATGTGTATTATTTGTATTTTGGCCAAAAAGGGTACACACAGTACAGTGGCTGCCTGCTTATGATTCCTTCTTTAAAAGCAAAAGCGTTCAAACACCAAAGCTTCCAGCAATGGAAAAGAAAACCTTGGAGTGCAGCTAGAAAATGGTCAACATTTTCTAATGTTACAGCATTAAGCTGTATTTCTGGCATTGCAGAGGGATTGGCTGGTGACTGCTAGAAGAGCACTTTGGTTTTATTGATGTGCAATAACAGGCCGAGCTTCTTGTATGCTCTGCAAAGATGTTTAGAGTGGCTTGTAGGTCTTCTGAATGCGCACAGAAAACGTTGTCATCAACATACTCAAGTTCTATAACAGATGTTGTTTTAACCTTGGTTTTGGCTTTCAGTCTGCTGAGGTTAAATAGCTTGCGATCTGTATGCTAAATGATTTCTGGTGGGAAGCTTCCCATCAACAAGATGAAGTATCATAGCAATGAAGATGGAAAATAAGGTTAGAGTAATAACACATCCCTGTTTGACACCTGATTCCACCTTAAATAGGTCACTTGGATGGGAGGTTTAGCATAGCTGGTAAATCATCAGCAGTTATAAGATCTATCAACCAAAAGGTTGCAAGTTCAAAGCCCCGGGTTGGCATGAGCTGCCAACTGTCAGCCTAGCTCATTATTTACCAAAGCAATTCGAAAACAGCTTTAACTGTGATTAGAGAAATTAGGTAACTCTAAAGCCGGGGAGTTGTTTTATGACGCCATAGGGAAAGAAGATGAGAAAATGCTGGGCAACCAAAAGGAAGGAGGAAGTCCTGACGGCTCTTCATCATAGAGGATAGAGCAACAGCACCTCCTGGACTCGAGCCCAGCCTTCCATGGCACCTCCTTCTTTTCTGTCTGTCTGTGTTATTGTCTATACAAAGGGACATTGAATGTTTGCCATGTATGTGTACTGTGATCCGCCCTGCTTCCAAGGAAGCAGAAAACAAGCTTGCTCCCTCCTCCCTGTGGCTTCCTCTCACATATTTATACATGGCTATCATATCTCCTCTCAGCCTTCTCTTCTTCAGGCTAAACATGCCCAGCTCCTTAAGCCGCTCCTCATAGGACTTGTTCTCCAGACCCTTGATCATTTTAGTCGCCCTCCTCTGGACACATTCCAGCTTGTCAATATCTCTCTTGAATTGTGGTGCCCAGAATTGGACACAATTCCGAAAACATATTGGCCAGACAGCCCAGAAACCACACAACAAACCAGTGATTCCAGTCGCGCAAGCCTTCAATGTCAATGGTATTAATTAAACATGAACAGGTAAAATCCTTAATGCTGCAATAAAAGTGCAATTACAACCACAACATCCCCTGACTTGGTCTTAAAAACCTCCGATATGGGCCTACTTGAAAGAGCCTAAAGGTCACCCCAAGAAGAGACTCACGAGGTTATGGCCATCTCCACCACCGGCATGGACCTCGGGATCCAGAGTCCGAAAAGGCAAAAGATGGAAACGACCTGCAAAAGAGAGTAGATACCAGACTCAGACTAGGACCAACTGATGGGAGAAGAACCAGAGAAGGGAAGTCACGCCAAGAGGCCCCTTTCTGTGGCTCTTCCAGGGAGAGGTCAGTCGCTTACGGTTGGCCCCGAGCTGCTCCAAATGAGGGTTTTCATCTTGACAAAACATCGGACCTTCTTAGAAAGGTACAAGGCGTCTTCGGTGAAGATGATGACGGACAGGAGGGTGAGGAAGGTCAGCATGCCAGTCACACAGAGCTCCACCATGTTCTGCTCTGTAAGGAAGAAAGAGTGGGCATCATATTAGTACCATGAGATTGGAAAAGATGGTCCTGAACAATATGCAGCCTGAAGAAAAGCAGGCCTGAAACAATATGCCACCACTCTCAATCCCACTTGCAGGTCAACCACAGATATAGTGATGGGGAGATATTGGAAATATATTGATACATATATTGTATGTACTTTAGAAGCACTGAAATTTAGAAAAATCAGATTCTCTCTGTGTTAGAAAGCCAAGCTGACAGGCCAGAAAGAATGCTGAAGGAGATCTGTATTGAAAGGGGGAAGAGAAGAAGGGCATGTTATCTGTTCTGGTATGGCTTCCTTTCCTTTCTTTGAGTGTTTGCATGTATTCCAATGTTCCATGCACTTTGCAATAGGGTGGCTTCCCTTGGTTTGCAATTATGGGGCCCATGACCCATCAGTCATCGTTGGGTTTTGGTTCTGCCCCTTTCCCCAGGGCTCTGGGAGAGAAAAGAAAGACTTCAGGCAGTCTTACAGTTTTGGAAGCCCAGTTACAGGACATGAGCTTTCCCCACCTGTAGAGAAGCTTCGTTTCTCACAACATCCGGGGGAAACAGCCCTAAAGCTTCTAAGGAAAACAGTTTGACAGCACAACCCTTGTTGAGGTTAAAGAAACAGCTCCACATCATTCGTGGAAAAATTCCAAAAGGACTCCAGCTGGAAAATCTACAAAGTCTTGGCTGGTAGGTCTACTCGGGTAACCAGAAGCAATTGGAACCGGGAGTAGGGCCCACACCAGCAGAGCCTAGAAAACAGATTGGCCAGGGAGTGGTTAAAAGGGTTTTCCTCTTAAAGAAAAGAAACAGTTCACGAAGCCAGTTGCCTGTCCATTGTGGGCAAGATAAGAAGCATTTGTTTGACTTGTTGAAGATCTAAAAAGTATTTGATTGTTTGTTGAAGACCTAAGCAATAATAAAGAACTTTGTTAAACTTTTTAAGCTTCTAAAGACTTTTGTATAGGAAAATCTTTAGAGCCTCTCAGCTGAGGCACCCCGACTTCCCGCTGGGCACAAAGAGCACGTCCTGTTCAAAAGCCAATTGCTATAGGCCCAGCGCACGACAGCACATTATCTATACATAGACTGGTACAGCATAGCCCAGGCTATACCTTCTTCTAAAAAGTAAGGAATCTCTTCCTCCCTCTTGACAGGTCAAAGTAGGCCCCTTGATGGATTGGTGTAAGCTGTAAGCTGTTTTAGAAAAAAATATAGAGACATGCCTCTTTCATGTTGGAAGATAGAATTTGATATTTCTATGATACCTAAAGTGACCTAGTGATGATGTTATGTATGTAGAAGCATGTTTCTTTGTTTGCCTGCATTTGAAGAGGTATAAAAGGCAAAGTCAACACCTTTATCCTCACTCTGGTTTGCTTTCGGATGAGAGTCCATGCCAAAGTCCCAGCTGGAAATAAAGCCGTACCTTTCAGCCTCCAAAAGGATCGCTCTTGGTATTATCTCTCCTATCTGCTGCTACAATAGGATGCAAGCATTTGCCTTGGAAACAGGCTACGCGAAAGGGATTTAGGAATCTGAGGATGGATCTACATTGCCATATAATGCAATTCAAAGCAAATAATCTGGATTTTACATGGCAGTGTAGATGGGACCTTAGTGGACCACAAAGTGAACAGGAGCCAACAGTGGGATGCGGCAACTCAAAAAGCAGTTCTACGTTGCATTCTTTGGATCAGGTTTGGGCAAACTTTGGCCCTTCAGGTGTTTTGGACTTCAACTCCCACAATTCCTAACAGCCTACTGGCAGTTAGGAATTGTTGAAGTCCAAAACACCTGGAGGGCCAAAGTTTGTCCATGCCAGCTTTAGATAGTTCCCACCTCGTGATTGATTTCTAGACTTTGGTTGCATTACAAAAGGCATGTTTCAATTCTGCTGCATGACATTTTGTGTTGCTCGGCAGATTTGCACACCTGAATGCAAACTCACAAATACCCAAATGAAAAGGATCCTACCACACCTTTCAGCAGGCGTACATTCAGATGTGCAACATGGCGCCTCAATACAAAGACTTTGTAGCACAATCAAAATGCAACTTGAATAATATATTTTATTTATATTCTGCTCTATGTTCCCGAGGGGATTTGTTGTTGTTCATTCGTTCAGTCGTTTCCAACTTCATGACCTCATGGACCAGCCCACACCACAACTCCCCGTCAGCCGTCACCACCCCCAGCTCCTTCAAGGTTAATCTAGTCACTTCAAGGATACCATCCATCCATCTTGCCCTTGGTCAGCCCCTCTTCCCTTTTCCTTCCATTTTTCCTGTCTTCTCATGATGTGGCCAAAGTACTCCATCTTTGCCTCTACTATCCTTCCCTCCAATGAGCAGTCAGTCTTTCTTTCTTGAAGTATGGACTGGTTGGATCTTCTCACTGTCCAAGGCAGTCTCAAAACTTTCCTCCAGCACCACAGTTCCAAAGCATCTCTCTTCCTTGGCTCAGTCTTCCCTAAGGTCCAGCTCTCACATCTGTAGGTCTCTACGGGGAATACCATGGCTTTGACTACGCGGATCTTCGTTGCCAGTGTGATGTCTCTACTCTTCACTATTTTATCAAGATTGGTCCTTGCTCTCCTCCCAAGAAGGAAGCGTCTCCTGATTTCGTGGCAGCAGTCTGCATCTGCACTAATCTTTGCACCTAGAAATACAAAGTCTGTCACAGCCTCCACGTTTTCTCCTTCTGTTTCCCAGTTGTCAATCATTCTTGTTGCCATAATCTTGGTTTTTTTGATGTTTAACTACAACCCAGCTTTTGCGCTTTCTTCTTCCACCTTGATTAGAAGGCTCCTCAGCTCCTCCTCGCTTTCGGCCATCAAAGTGTTGTCATCTGCATATCTAAGGTTGTTAATGTTTCTTCCAGCAATTTTCACCCCAGCCTTGCATTCCTCAAGCCTCGCACATCGCATGATGTGTTCTGCATACAAGTTGAATAGATTGGGGGAGAGGATACAAACCTGCCATACGCCTTTCCCAATCTTGAACTATACTGTTGTTCCATGGTCAGTTCTGACTGTTGCTACTTGGTCCTTATACAGATTCTTCAGGAGAGAGACAAGGTGATTTGGTATGCCCAAACCACCAAGAACTTGCCACAATTTATTATGATCCACACAGTCCAAGGCGGAGAAAGGCGGAATATTAAATAAGTAAGTACTGCATATTCGGAGCATTCTGCACATACAGAACAAGAAAGCAAAGGCAACATTTTCTCCTTTTGCTTTTGGGAAGAACCCTTTTCAGGTGCATCTACACTAAAGAATTGCGCATTTGTCAACACTTCAACTGCCATGGCTGAATGCTATGGAAGCCTGGGAGACAGATGGAAGAAGCAAGAGAAGAACACAATGCCTGGATCCCTCATCCAATTCTAGTTGGCCTTTCATCCCCACAGATTCTGCATCCATGCATTCGACTATCGATGGCTTTGAAGGCGGGTCAAACTGGGACACGTAGCTCCATGATGGAGCAATGTCAAGGTCTTAGCCTTCATGTTTGCATTTGCAAGTTATGCAACTGCATGAGAGCACGTCCAGAAGTGCTTACGTTGCAGCCATTGCAGAGCCCTTGGCGGATGGGAAAAGCAGGCAGCCGGGATGCTGAAATTTTCAATTAAGACGTGGACCAGTCCAGGGTCGAACCTGCAGAAGACACAAAATCAGGATCTCGTGAGACATGAGACACTTCTATGCATGTGTAATATTGTGTATTATGTTTTTTATGGTTTTAATTGTATACTGTGCACTGTATATTTTGTTGTAAACCGCGTTGAGTCGCCAATTAGGCTGAGAAACGGCGGTATACAAGGACAGTAAATAAATAAATAAATAAATAAATAAATAAATAAATAAATATGCCATCCTGACCGCACTAAACCTTGACTCATTTCGAAAGCCAAACTGGAGTGCTTCCATGTTGTGGAATAAATACAATTCGTCACCACTTTTAACTATCTTGGCTCAATACTGTAGGGTCATGGGAGATGTAGTCCTTCAGCCTTCACTTCCAAAAGTAGAATGCAGTAGGACTACAGCCCCATCTACACTGCATTGAACTGAATTAGGAGTATACGAGACTACACTGCCACACAATGCAACTCCCATGCCTCATTGCTATAGAGTGATGGGTGTTGTAGTTTTACAAGGTCTTTACCAAAGAACCTTGGAGGCTCTCCAAACTATAGCTTATATGATTCCACTGCAGTGCAGTTAAACTGCTTTATATGGCAGTGTAGATGGGACCTAAGACTTTGCTTGATTTGGATACTGTACTCCTGTTGATGCAGCCGAGAATCACGTTGGCTTTTCTGGCTGCTGCATCACACTGTTTGCTCACAGTCATCTTTTGGTCTGCTGTGACTCCTAGATGATCCCATTCCCATAATTGAAATAACAAAGAAGTGCCCCAGAAGACAGTGGGAGCAAACAGTGTTTCTTCTTAGTCTATATAAATAAAAATGTAATGTTTGTTTGTGGGATTAACATAACTCAAAAACCACGGAACGAATTGACACCAAATTTGGACACAAGACACCTCTCAGGCCAACACGGGACCATCACTCATACAAACACTGGAAAACACAGCAGAAGGGACTTAAAAAGCCAAAAAAGCAAAAACAAAACAAAACCAAAAGAGATGTTACAGCGCATGACAACCAAAACACACAATAGCATATCCACACTCTCTTCCGGACCACATCTCCCAGCATCTCCTCAACCAGCCCCTTTAGGAGAGGAGGATGATCCAAATGCAGTGCCTCCAAGATGCAAGCTGTCTTCTCCTTGGATTTCTTTGAGAGCATCCCAATCCCTGCGTATTTCCAATTCCCTATTCCTGGACTACATCTCCCAGCAATTCTCCAGATAGATTAGAGGTAGGTAGGTAGGTAGGTAGGTAGGTAGGTAGGTAGGTAGATCGGAAGGACTGCTGGGAGTGGCAGTCCAAAAATAGGTAGAGACAGAAGAAAGAAAAGGGAAAGAAAAGGCAGAGAAGGGAAGAGGAAGAGGAAGGGAAGGAAGGAAGGAAGGAGGAAGGAAGGAAGGAAGGAAGGAAGGAGAGAAAGAAAGAAAAAAGAAAGAAAGAAAGAAAGAAGAAAGAAAGAAAGAAAAGAGGGAGGGAGGGAGGGAGGGAAGGTTGGCCACAGCAATGTGGCGGGTACAGTTAGTCTATATAAATAAAAATATAATGTTCATTTGTGGGATTAACAGAACTCAAAAACCACTGGACGAATTGACACCAAATTTGGACACAAGACACCTAACAACCCAATGTATGTCCTTCGCTCAAAAAAAATTTTGTCATTTGGGAGTTGTAGTTGCTGGGATTTATAGTTCACCTACAATCAAAGAGCATTCTGAACCCCACCAATGATGGAATTGAACCAAACGTGGCACACAGGACTCCCATGACCAAAGAAAACACTAGAAGGGTTTGGTGGGCACTGACCTTGAGTTTGGGAGTTGTAGTTCACATACATCCAGAAAGCACCATGGACAATTATGGATCTGGACCAAACTTGGCACAAATATTCCATACGCCCAAATATGAACATAGATGGAGTTTGGGGGAAATAGACCTTGATATTTGGGAGTTGTAGTTACTGGGATTTACAATTCACCTACAATCAAAGCGCATTCTGAACTCCACAAATGACAGAAATGGGGCAAGCTTTTTACACAGACCCCCCATGACCAACAGAAAATCCAGTCCAACTCCCTTCACAAGGACAAGAAAACGTAATCAAAGCCCTCCTGACAAAGAGCCATCCAGCCATAGATAAAGATAGATTAGATAGATATGATTCACACACAGATATAGTATCATAGATTTGAAAGGGACTCCTAAAGAAGGACAATGATATGTTGCACATTCCAGAATAGGCAAACCAGACACTCTCCACATCAACACTGACAAAGAAACAACAAGAAATACTGTTTACTCACAAGCAAAAAGTTTACTATTGCTTACATAACCTTTTGTTTACTATTGTTTACAAAACTTTTTGTTTACTGTATTGTCAAAGGTTTTCATGGCCAGAATCACTGGGTTGTTGTAGGTTTTTTCGGGCTATATGGCCATGTTCTAGAGGCATTCTCTCCTGACGTTTCGCCTGCATCTATGGCAAGCATCCTCAGAGGTAGTGAGGTCTGTTGGAACTAGGAAAAAGGGTTTATATATCTGTGGAATGACCAGGGTGGGACAAAGGACTCTTGTCTGATGGAGCTAGGTGTGAATGTTTCAACTGACCACCTTGATTAGCATTTGATGGCCTGGGTGCCTGGAGCAAACTTTTGTTGAGAGGTGATTAGATGTCCTTGTTTGTTTCCTCTCTGTTGTTTTGCTGTTGTAATTTTAGAGTTTTTTTAATACTGGTAGCCAGAATTTGTTCATTTTCATGGTTTCCTCCTTTCTGTTGAAATTGTCCACATGATTCTTGTGTATTTCAATGGCTTCTCTGTGTAGTCTGACATGGTTTTTTGTTTACTATGGTTTACAAAACATTTTGTTTACTATTATTTACAAAACCTTTTGTTTACTATTGCTTACAAATCTTTTTACTATTGCTTACAAAACTCTTGGTTTACTATTGTTTACAAATCTTTTCAGTTACTATTGTTTGCAAAACCTTTTGTTTACTATTGCTTACACAACTTTTTGTTTACTATTGCTTACAAAACCTTTTGTTTACTATTATTTACAAAACTTTTTGTTTACTATTGTTTACAAAACTTTTTGCTTACTATTGTTTACAAAACTTTTGTTTACTATTGTTTACAAAACCTTTTGCTTACTATTGTTGACAAAACTTTTTGTTTACTATTGCAAAATAATAGGAACATTTCCCTTTTGTGTCGTCAAAAGAGGTTTACAAGAAATCTCAGGCTGCTCCCACACAGCTGAATAAAATCCCACCTTATCTGCTTTGAAGTGGAACATATGGCAGTGTGGACTCAGATGACCCAGTTCAAAGGAGATATTGTGGGATTTTCTGCCTTGAGATTCTGGGTTACGTGGCTGTGTCATCCAAGGAAAGTAGATGACTGAGGATCAGCACTTTGGATGTTTCCTTTCAAGTTCAGAGTAAAAACCATGAACAGTTTCAGTGTCTCCCTTTCCCAAAACGAAATCCATCAATCACCAATGAAACTGTTGAACAAATGCAGTTTGACCCCACTTGGCTCAATGCTATGCAATCCTGGAAATTATAGTTCAACGGGGCACTAGCATTATTTGGCAGGCAAAGCCAAAACTACAACTCCCATGACTCATTGCTATGGAGTGATGGGTGTGGTAGTTTTACAAGGTCTTTAGCCTCCTCTGCCAAAGAACCTTGGAGGCTCACCAAACTATAGCTTCCATTGCCATTACTGCTCAAGCAGGGAGCTTTGAGATGGTTGAACAGAAGCTCTCCGAAGCTCTAGGTGCCCTTACTGCCTATTACAGGGAAAACCAGCTGATCCCAAATCCATCTAAAACACAGACTTGTGCCTTTCATCTCAGGAACAGAGAAGCATCACGAGCTCTGAGGATTACCTGGGAAGGAATCCCACTGGAGCATTGCAGCGCACCCAAATACCTGGGAGTCACTCTGGACCGTGCTCTGACCTACAAGAAGCACTGCCTGAACATCAAGCAAAAAGTGGGTGCTAGAAACCATATCATACGAAAGCTGACTGGCACAACCTGGGGATCACAACCAGATACAGTGAAGACATCTGCCCTTGTGCTGTGCTACTCTGCTGCTGAGTATGCATGCCCAGTGTGGAACACATCTCACCACACTAAAACAGTGGATGTGGCTCTTAATGAGACATGCCGCATTATCACGGGGTGTCTGCGCCCTACACCACTGGAGAAATTACACTGCTTAGCTGGTATTGCACCACCTGACATCCGCCGGGAAGTAGCAGCCAATAGTGAAAGGACCAAGGCAGAGACATCTCCAGCTCATCCCTTGTTTGGGTATCAGCCAGCCAACGACTTAAATCAAATAGTTTTCTAAGATCTACAGAGACACTCGCTGGAACACCTCAGCAAGCGAGAGTCCAAAAGTGGCAGGCTCAAACCCAGAACCTCAACCAATGGCTGATACCAAATGAGAGACTCCCCCTGGGCACACAGAGGACTGGGCGACTTGGAAGGCGCTGAACAGACTGCGCTCTGGCACCACGAGATGCAGAGCCAACCTTCAGAAATGGGGCCACAAAGTGGAATCCTCGACATGCGAGTGTGGAGAAGAGCAAACCACTGACCACCTGCTGCAATGCACCCTGAGCCCTGTTACATGCACCATGGAGGACCTCCTTGCAGCAACACCAGAGGCACTCCAAGTGGCCAGATACTGGTCAAAGGACATTTAATCAACTACCAAACTCACACACTTTGTGTTTTCTCTGTTTGTTTGTTTGCTTTGTTCTGTTAGAAATGTAATATAATTGACTGGCTGCCCTGACACGAGGGGGAAAAAAAAGCTTCCATTGCACAGAGCCGTGGCAGTTCAAGTGGTATCAAACTGCATCTGTTCTTCAGTGTAGACCGGGTATGGGCAAACTTGAGCCCTCCAGGTGTTTTGGACTTCAACTCCCACAATTCTTAATGGTTGTTAGGAATTGTGAGAGTTGAAGTCCAAAACACCAATAGGGCCCAAATTTGCTCATGCCTGGTCTACACTTCAATGTTGTTGATTCCTAAGATTTGTAGTTTGCTTACCTGGGGTCTTTCACCAGATCTTCCATGCTAACCGTTTCCCCACAGAGGCTTCCCTATGGATCCAGGAGCAGAAATGGACAAAATGCAATCTCTGGCCGCAGAGTCCCTGGTTTGCGCTGTGTTTGCACAGCAGGGTCAGAGTCCTCCTGCTCGGCACCGGTGCCGGCTAAATTTGTGTGTGTTTGGTTGGTTGATTCCCCTTCTTTTCATTTCAGAAACGGATTCACTTTCCAGCGGTCCCCTCTGTTCCTCCGTCCTCTCCCTTTGATGGCATGTCAGCAGGTTCACTGACACAGAGGATACGTCACGCTTCATGCATGTGCCACCTGGGTCAGTGAACCCGGAAGGGGTGGTGAATGGGGCAGCAACATGGACTCAAGGCTCTTTCTAATATCCTGTATGTGCCAGAGGCCTTGAAAATTGCTTCCTTTCTCTTCTTAACAATCTGCAAATCTCTTGTAGAATGAATGCAGTTTGGCACCACTATCACTGTCATGGCTCAATGCAATGGGAGTTTTGCAAAATCTTTAGCCTCCTCTACCAAAAAGCGCTGGGCATCACCAAACTATTAATCCTAGGATCCCATAGCAGTTAAAGTAACAAAATGAAGTTCAACAGTGACAAATGCAAGATACTCCACTTTGGCAGGAAAAACGAAATGCAAAGATACAGAATGGGACGATGCCTGGCTCGAGAGCAGTACGTGTGAAAAAGATCTTGGAGTCCTTGTGGACAGGAAGATGAACATGAGCCAGGAATGTGATGTGGCGGCAAAAAAAGCCAATGGGATTTTGGCCTGCATCAATAGGAGCATAGTGTCTAGATCTAGGGAAGTCATGCTCCCCATGCTCTATTCTGCTTTGGTTAGACCACACCTGGAATATTGTGTCCAATTCTGGGCACCACAATTCAAGAGAGATATTGACAAGCTGGAATGTGTCCAGAGGAGAGCGACTAAAATGATCAAGGGTCTGGAGAACAAGCCCTATGAGGAGCAGCTTAAGGAACTGGGCATGTTTAGCCTGAAAAAGAGAAGGCTGAGAGGAGATATGACAGCCATGTATAAATATGTGAGAGGAAGCCACAGGGAGGAGGGAGCAAGCTTGTTTTCTGCTTCCCTGGAGACTAGGTCGTGGAACAATGGCTTCAAACTACAAGAGAGGAGATTCCATCTATGATTCTATGATTCTATGAGGTCAAACTGCATTTGTTCTATAGCAGAAAGCCGACCTATGTGTCCATCTATGGCTGTAGTTCTCAACCTGGGGGTCAGGACCCCTGGGAGGGTTGCGAGAGGGGGTTTTCCAGAGGGGTCTCCAAAGACCATCAGAAAACACATATCTCTTTTTTTTAATATAATTTTTATTGTGCATTTTAATATTTACAACAAGACTGAGCGAGTGCCGGTAGCACTCACCCTAAACATAACATCACAGACATTGAAAACTTCCAAAACATCTAAAACATCGTAAACATCACAACATAGAATCATAGAATCAAAGAGTTGGAAGAGACCTCAAGGGCCATCCAGTCCAACCCCATTCTGCCAAGAAGCAGGGATATTGCATTCAAAGCACCCCTGACAGATGGCCATCCAGCCTCTGTTTAAAAGCTTCCAAAGAAGGAGCCTCCACCACACTCCAGGGCAGAGAGTTCCACTGCTGAACGGCTCTCACAGGAAGTTCTTCCTCGTGTTCAGATGGAATCTCCTCTCTTGTAGTTTGAAGCCATTGTTCCCTTGCGTCCTAGTCTCCAAGGAAGCAGAAAACAAGCTTGCTCCCTCCTCCTCCCTGTGGCTTCCTCTCACATATTTATACATGGGTATCATATCTCCTCTCAGCCTTCTCTTCTTCAGGCTAAACATGCCCAGCTCCTTAAGCCGCTCCTCATAGGGCTTGTTCTCCAGACCCTATGAGGGACATCAAAACATCAAAACATCCAATCGTCAGAGCATCAAAACCGTGGCCGCGCAATCGTCCCAAACACCCAAGACATGACATTACCACCACCACCCTCCACCATTACATTAATAGAGTGAAGGCACTTCCCAAAGTCTTCTGTGGATTAATTAACTTTTGGATTATCTTAAATCGATTTGTTCTAATCTTCTCGCAATCACTCAAGATGGTTTTCCTTAGTTCACAGGTTAGACAAATCTATCAAAACTGGAATCTTTCTGGATTTAATAAAGTCTCTGAAGCCTGACCAGTCCGTTTTTTTTGTGGGTGTTGTTTAGTTTTTGAGTTAGACTGTCCATTTGTACTAGATCAAATACCTTGATTATCCAGTCTTCCACTATGGGGACTTCTTCTTGCTTCCACAGTCTTGCAAGTTGTAATCTCGCTGCGGTACTAAGTAGAAAAAGCATCTTATCTTGGTTTTCAGATAAGATAAGAAAACACATATCTCTGATAGTCTTAGGAACCCTTTGGCCAGAGAAGGCTGAAGATCTCTCTGCATGTCCTTTTCTTCCTTTTTGGTATTGGTGAACTACAACTCCCAGAATTCAAAAGAATTCAGCTCCCCCCCCCCCCAAACTCCACCAGTATTCAATGTTGGGCATGTAGGTAGTGTGCCAAGTTTGGTACAGAGCCATTGTCCACCTACAATCAAAAAGAGTGCTTTTTGATTGTATGTAGGTGAACTATAAATCCCAGTTACTACAACTCCCAAATGTCAAGGTCTATTTTCCCCAAACTCCACCAGTGTTCATATTTGGACATACTGAGTATGTTGATTGTATGTAGGTGAGCTATAAATCCCAGTAACTACAGCTCCCAAATGTCAAGGTCTATTTTCCCCAAACTCCACCAGTGTTCACATTTGGGCATATTGAGTATGTGTGCCAAGTTTGGTCCAGATCCATCATCGTTTAAGTCCACAGTGCTCTCTGGATGTAGTGCTCTCTGGAGACCTGTTCTCTTTGTGTGCAAATGCCCATTTGCATGCACTTCTATGCTCACATCTTGAAAGCAACATTGCTGATACCAGCAGGACTCCAATGCTTCCTTTCCCCATCCCGTGCCATCATGTTATGATCGAGAAATCCATAAGCTTTGGAAGCAAACAAGAGGCATTTTCCAGCTTCTAGTTGGCCTAATACGGGGGTATGATGCCGTGGATGATGGAATGCTTCATTCTAACTCTTGAAACCAGGGTTCAGATCCCTGCTCAGCCATATAACCTCACATGAAACTAATCATATACTTCCACCCAACAAAAGACACATACTCTCAGGGTACGATCCATCAGAAACAACGTGGGAAGAAGTAGAACGAAACGGGTGATGGACTTGGATCTGGGTGGGTTGGGGTGGAGCAGGAAACTACAGAAGGAAGAGAGATTGAGGAGGAGGACTGCTCTTTATTGTGGCACAGAGATATAAATAGAGGCAACATAAGCAATGGAGTAGAGGTGCATCTACGCTATAGAATCAATGCACTTTGACACCACTTGAACTGCCCTGGTTCAGTGCTATGGAACCCTGGGAACTGTATTTTTACAAGGTCATTAGACTTCTCTGCCAAAGAGTGCTGGTGCCTCACCAAACTATTATTTTGTATCATTGAGCCATGGCAGTTAAATTGGTATCAAACTGCATTATTTCAATAGTCTAGATCAGAGCGCCTCAAACTACGGCCCATGGGCCGGCCCCGGCCCCCCGACGGCATTTGTCCAGCCCGTGGGGTATGGAGAAGGGTGGGAGAAATGTCAGAAGATAATGCTTCTGGAACATGGCCAGACAGCTCCTAGCAACTCACCAGGATTCTTTTTGTTGTTGGAGACTGCACAACTTCTGAGGATGCCTGCTATAGATGCCGGTGAAACATCTGGAGATAATGCTTCTGGAGCATGGCCAGACAGCCCAAAAAAACTACAACAACCCATTCTATTTGTTTCTTAACTATTTAACCCACAACCCTAGTCGGCTGCTTTGGCCGGTCCAAAAACAGTGGATTACAACAGAAATCTGTATGTATGTTAGTAGCATCGGACCCATTGGGAAGCATCTTCCATGGTCACTATGGTGCCATTCCACAGCAACCCTCTCTATTATGTAATAACCACATTGCCATGGAAATCCGTGGGCCATGGTTCCATCTGGACCTGGCTTTGCAATTGTGCCAGGGTTCCCTTAAGGCATGGCGCCCAGGTCAGATGGATGTCATGCGCTCAGCTCCGGCATCTTAGCTTCGCTTCTTTACAGTACCCTCATGGCCCTCAGCTGCCTCTTTTTCACCTTCCCGTAAGTATGGTTGGGGCCAAACCCATTTAGATTTAATATCTCTTCTCCAAAACTCTTGGCATTGGAAATGTTTCAGACTTCTCTTGGCTTTTCCTCCTACAGCTGTAGCTGGCTAGCTCTCCATGTCTCCTGGACGATCCCCGTCCTTTGTGGCCAGTTGCTGGTTGCAGCTGCTATTTACTTCTGCCTCACCAGTTTCACAGACACAGGGATTCTCCACAAAGGTCGGTCAATAGTATGCAAAACCTTCCAAAGTTTCAGTCCTGGTCAAAGCTAGTGAGGTGCCATAAAGGGGGGAGGTGGGTTGTCTCCTGGCACCACTTAACAATTAAGACTTGTGCGCCAGCTGCGACTGTACCTTGTGAAGTCGGATCTGGCCAGGGTGGCCCATGCCTTATTCACCTCCAGATTGGACTACTGCAATGCACTCTACGTGGGGCTGCCCTTGGAAACAGCCCGGAAATTTCAACATGTACAACGGGCGGCAGCCAGGTTACTAACTGGTGCTTTTTGCAGGGTGCAGTCAACCCCCCCCCCCCCCCCGTTTAAGGAGCTCCATTGGCTGCTGTTCATTTTCCAGTCCCAATTCAAAGTGCAGGTTCTTGCCTACAAAGCCCTGAACGGTTTGGGACCCGCCTACCTGCATGACTGCATCTCTGTGTACGAACCCACACGATCTCTTCGATCATCTGGAGAGGCCCTGCTCACGCTCCCACCTCCATCGCAGGCGTGATTAGTGGGGACTTTTCGCCTGCATCTATGGCAAGCATCCTCAGAGGTCCAACAGACCTCACTACCTCTGAGGATGCTTGCCATAGATGCAGGCGAAACGTCAGGAGAAAATGCCTTTAGAACATGGCCATATAGCCATAAAAAACCTACGACAACCCTATTATCATCATCATCATCATCATCATCATCATCATCATCATCATCATCTCCTATTTCTCAATGCTATAGAATTCTGGAAATTGTAGTTTTGCAACTACAATGCAAAATTACAATATGCCACCAATAGCTCCCTTTCATCCTG